ATATTTGTTTCCGCTATGAAATCTGCTTCCGTTCTATGGCCGAACATATCACTTTGTTTAATACAAAAATGTAAACAAACACGGCACAGTGTTTCTCTAGAGTTTTGTTTATTTTATGATTTTTACAGGTTTTGAAGATTAATTACAAGTAAGGAAAATAATATGATACCCGTACACCACTATGCATATTTAGTACAGCTCTCGTAACAAAAAAAATGTATTTCAAGTAGATCATACCTCGTATAAACATTTGACCTTAGAGCAGTTATAGTTTGCTATAGAGTGCATGGTATCACTTGAAGAAGGATTATATTAATAAACAAACGTTGTTTTTATAAAAACAACAATAAAGGGATAAAGCCTGACTATTTTGCAACAACAAAATACTACGGTATCCCGAACAAACAAGCAAGTGGAGAAAGATGTAAATGTTTATAAGTGCGGTTGTAAGATTTAGAAGACTTTCCAAAAGAATTTTAGTTTTATTTAATTCTTTGGTTCCTCTTCTATTGAGCTTACGATCTCGTCACTTGGGTAAAAAAATGTTTTTTGTCATAGAAGTTATTTTTAAAATAACTTCTGGGGAGAATATCCCAGACAAAAAACAAGGGAACTGATGAGGATTGGTGGCCCTTTCCGAAACCTAGGTATTCCCTGCCTTACCCCCTGGTAAACATTACCATCGTTCTCCATTAATAAACAAACGTTGTTTTTATAAAAACAACAATAAAGGGATAAAGCCTGACTATTTTGCAACAACAACAAAAATATATATCGGAGCCGAGTTGCACAAAATGGAAACGTACGTCCCGAAATTCACTCCATTTGGGCTGATATTAGCACAATAAACTTGAAATCGGATTAAGGATATGTATGTGAGTGACTTAAACACCAAATGGGACGAAATATATACATGGGAGCTATAACTATATCTGACTAGTTTTCTACAAATTTGATGTACTTGCTTCTATACTGAATTCGGTTGGATGTACCAAAATTCAGGACTTTTTGACAGATATTGGCCTTTTGGAGCACAATTAACCCGAAATCGGTTGAGGATATATATGGGACCTATATCCGAATCTGAACCGATCTTGATAACATTTAGCAGAGGGATACCCCGAGCTCTATAAGATATCTGGTACCAAATATGGAGTGCATATTACGAATTTTGGCGACTTAAACACCAAATCGTATGAAACATATATATGGGAGCTATAGCTATATCTGGACCGATTTTTTCCGAATTCGATGTAATTGCTTCTAGACTGAATTCGGTTGGATGTACCAAAATTCAGGATTTTTTGACTGATATTGGCCATTAGGTGCACAATTAACCCAACATCGGGTGAGGATATATATGGGAGCTATAGCTATATCTGAACAGATTTACACCAAATTTGAAGTACTGGTACTATGAATTCAGTCTAAAATGCCAAAATTCGTAGGTCATTTGGATTTATATTGGCCATTTGGTGCACAATTAACATGAAATCGGTTGAAGATATATGGGATCTATATCTAAATCTGATCCGATTATCACCAATTTCAATAGGGTTCGTCCTTGGGCCAAAAAAATATTGTTTGGAAAATTTCATCTCAATCGGATAATAAATGCGACCTGCATTTTGTTCACAAGAATACATGTACGGACGGACGGACTTATGACATGCATAAGTCGACTCTGAAAGTGATTCGATGAAGATCCTCAAAAGTAACTACGTGTCTATCTCGCTTCCTTTTTATGTTAAAAACAAATGCACAAAGACATAATATCCCTACCACTATGTGGTGTAGGGTATAACTACCAAAAAATAATGGGAAAGCCGAAAAATTATGGAAGTAGAGCTAAAATCGGCAACCATAAAACAGCGGGATGTTCCGCTCATTTTTACATTTTTCAAAACATTTGAGTTTAGGATATAGTAATAATAAAAAATCCAAGTCAATTTTTACAAGGAAGCCTCCCTGTATATAATATATTGGAAAGCCCCCCTAAGTGGATTTCGTATACAGTCCTGCAAAAATGTTGCCTTTGGTTTCTGACCGGTGGAATTTGCCATAAATTTACGCCCTCTGTAGTGTTAATAGGTATTTTCGCAAAAAAATGTGGTTTATTTTACCCGTTAAATATTACCCGAAAATGCTAGGATTCGGTCCTGTTCTAAACTTTAACAAGTTTTAGGTCCATTCGAACTAAATATTTTGCGATCATCTCCAAAAACAATAGGCTTCTGTTCTGACCCTAGTCCTACCTCCATGAGAACACATAACTAGATCGACTTACCTCGGCAATAGTAGAAAGATCCATACATAACATCATATGTTCAGTGCCAATATTTCGAGGTGTTACAAACTTTTTAACCCCTCCCCCCATACTGTTGTAGGGTATAATTATGAGTCTCTGAACAAAAGAATCCTATATCCGGTATACAGCTGATTTGTTCTGATTGGAAACAAAAATTTCCTCACAACGTCAATGAAGATTGACTTCCAATATTAACATTATCTCCATCAAATTTCACTATAAGCCACCAAAGACACAAAATATCTATTTCCATGGCATATCAAAAATTCCGTCACATATTCCAAACTTTATTAAATTGTGCATCAAAACACGAATTCGGCTGAAAAAGGGATATATGAACTGATCTGAACAATTTGAATATAATTTGACAAAATTATTTGTAGGCCAAATTCATTCACACATTCCAAATTTAATTGAAATTGGAAATACATAGCGTGTTCGAACGAAAGTATATATGATAGCTATATCCAACTATGAACTCCAGTTCCAAGTGGAACTTCAAAAACTTATATAGCCTATGTTACTTTTAGGCAATGATGAAATAAATTTGGAAATTTTCAAGAAAATCTGTTTAGCGGGTTTTGAGTCCATAAATTACAAACAATCAAACGGACAAACATTTTCCTCTCTTATAGATATACTGGGTGAGATGAAGAAACTGCAACCAACTTCAGACTGCTGTCATTTCTAGGCCACTCGTCCGACAGCTGTTAAAATTATTCTAGTGAAAGCTCATTATATTGTTTACAAGCGTACAAAAGAATTTTGGTGGGAATTTTCCAGAAAAAAAAAGTTATTCGTGATGGAATTCAAGCGTGATTTCTTTATATTTGGCTGGAAAACCACAAGTGGCTATCGTTAGAGCAGCATTTAAATGTGTCTCGTGCTATCGCTCGTTACCGTGATTTTGGTAGCGTAGCCCGACGTCAAGGAAGTGGACAGAAGAAAACAGCGTATTAATCGACCGTGGCATCAGAATAAATGAAATGAAATGAATATTATCGCGAAAATATTCTGGAAGGTGTATTAAAGCCTTGGGCACACCAACATTTTGGCCGCATACCTTCGATATTCCATCAGCACCATCGCAATCAGCAACGCACAATGGCCACCAAAATCTCCGAATACCAATCCGTTGGACTATTGTGTCTGGAGTTTTTTGGAAGGCAAGGTTGGCCATAAAAATACCAAAGTGTCGATCACCTCAAACAAGCTCATTGGGCGTTTCAAGTTTAAATTCGTGTCAAAGGTGACCAATCCGACATTTTTTGCTTTTATTCAATAAAATTAAAAAAAAAAAATGTAAAAATTATGGCGTTGACTTTGACGGTTTCATTGGGCGTTTGAAGTTTGAATTCGTGCTAAAGGTGACCAGTTCGAACAAATCTAAACTTATTCTAAAATTTGATGCTATTTCCGACATTTTTTGTTTTCATTCAATAAAATTTAAAAAAAAAAATGTAAAAAATATGGCGTTGGAGTTTGTTGCAGTTTTTTTTTTATCTCACACATTATGAACTAAAAATAGTGAATTTTAGACTATTCCGATGGAAATTTAGACTAACATCAAAAGTACAATTACGTGGCTATACAATGATATTGGTGGATATATTCTTCATTCAGTTATAACCTAAAGGTTAACAGTTCCCCCTCGGAAAATTTGTTTGACCTTTTTTAATGGTTTACTTACTATCATTTAATATCTGTTTCCCACAATTACTTATCTATGAAGTGTATATTTTGTTATCATATTTGTCAAACCACTGTGCAAGTATGCCGGTATTTAAGAGTTTTTCGCTCTTTCGACAATTTATTTGGTAAACATAAACAAAATCAAATAACAATTGAACTTGGCTTAAATTTTTGTCATACAACAACTAACTGAGTCAAAAACTGCACTCGTGATGAGCTTTTAAAGCCGGCACACACAATTGTTGGGGTGGGGAACGGAACATGCATGTTTAGCACGGTTACACTTGGTTGGCTTTGGTAACTAAAAAACGGCCGGAAGAAGGTACGGCGACGGTGGGGGTATACAAAGTTTTAATGTCTAGTCTTTCGTCGGTTGGCACGTTTCAATTCCATTGCATTCGTTCATTCATTACTTGTTCATAATGATTTTCAGTTGTTTGGATCGTTTGTGAGGCATGTTCCAACCGTCATCATTATGATCATTGCCCTCATCATTATCACGAAGTACATTACTTTGAATGAGCCACTCTCATGTAAAGCTATGTATGTTTGTTTGCCCCGAAATGTGTGGTGTACTTAAAAGCTACAACATACACCATTCATTCTTCTTCTTCGTTGTTCGTTGGCAGCAGTGGTTAATACCACACATAGCAATGGTAAGTTTTGGGCTAACTACGGGCTGGGCTTAAACCTCAAATGCAAAATATTCAAAATTCAGTCGTTACAACGTCGTGGAACTTTACGGTTGAATTTATCGGTTACCAACTGGAAGTGGAAATAATTAATTAATTTTTTTTAATTAAAAGTGGATTATAGATAAGATGTGAATGTTGAAGAGAAAACATAAAAATATTTGTTAAATAAATAAAAAATGGATTATAATTTATGTAATGTGATTAAATACTAAAATACTCGTCAATTGTGCAACATATGAATAATATAATAAAATGTCAAGTAAAAATAATTAAAAAAAAAAATTAATTAAGAATAAATTAACAGAGAGAAATAAAAATTTCCCACAAATAAATATTTTTGTTGGATGAGAAAAATACTTTATTTTTTGTTCTTTTGAATTACCTCAAGGATTACTAAGAATACTTGTGGAATAGCCGATTATATTGATGAGTGGTATGTTTATATTACTTCCCAAACCTCACATTAAGATTTTTTTCTATTTACGTCTATTATCTATTTCTATGCGTCGTTTAAAATCTATCAAACCAACACAACTCCACTACCTAATATCCGACGTACGTTTTCGATAATACCTATTATCCTAATACCTAATATCCGACGCACGTCTCCACATGATTTTAATACATGTATATAATAAACCTTAAATATGGAAGAATGTTTTTACTTTTTTTAAATTTTATGTGAATATGGACATATTTTACAATAGTGGGGAAGGTGAGTACTTTTGTACGGAAGTAAGAAGGCATCTTTAGGCATCATTTTTGTATTTAGGTACATGCTTAGTCTATTTAACTGTCTGATTCCATAAGTCCCGAAAGAGGTATAATCAATAAGTCATAATAAAATTCCCAGGGAAAAAATGTTATTACCAAATAATGGGTTTAATAAGTACATGTTTGCACCAGTAACTAGTTACAAACTAGCATCCCAACCCATTTTTATACCCTCCACCATACGTAATATGGAGGGTATATTGAGTTCGTCATTCCGTTTGTAACTCAACTAAATAATAATTTTAGACCTAACAAAGTATGTACAGGGTGAGATAAAAAACTGTAACAAAATTGACTGAAAGCAAAAAATGTCGGAAATAGCATCAGATTTTAAAATAAGTTTAGATTTCTGGACTTCAAACGATCAAACGACGATCCGTCACACGCTGTCCGTATCTTGCTCTGCGGTATTTTGGCCCATTCCTGGCGAAGCGCTTGCTTGGTGTGATCGACTCTTTGGTATTTTTTAGTGTCAAACATGCTTTCCAAAATACTCCAGACACAATAGTCTAAAGGAATGGTATACGGAGATTTTGGAGGCCATTGTTCGCTGGAAATGGAGTTAGGAAACTCATTTTGTAACCATTCTTGGCTGCGCGATGGTGCTGAGTCCTGTTGGAATATCCAAAGTCTGCGGCCAAAATGTTTGCATTTCCAAGGCTTTAATACACCCTCCACAATATTTTCGCGATAAAATTCGGCATTTATTCTGATGCCACGGTCGATTAATACGAGCGGAGAGCGACCATCGGCTGTTAAGGCGGCTCACACCATCACCATGGCTGGCGCTTGATTTCTGGTGGCCAACCGAAGGTGCACATTTTCAGCTGACCTCTTGGCAAGTAAACACGATCATTTTGTTTGTTTACAAACTGCTGGACAACAAATGTTTTCTCATCGGAGAAAACCAAATTCGGCAGTTCACCACTTTCGGCCAAGCGAAGCAACCCCTTAGCTCTATTGAGTCCATTTTCTTTCTGTTGCGGAATTTCAATTGCTTTACCCCGAGCTCATTTTTCAATATTTGCCGAATGGAATATTGCGATATGTTCAGCTCAGCCATTCAGTCATTTTCCGGCCACTGCGACACAGGTTTCGATCAAGTCGCTTTATTTACTTTTCAAAACATTTCTGCTGATGTTGCTGTTTTCTTCCGTCCACTTCCTTGACGTCGGGTTACGCTGCCAGTATCACAGTAACAAGCGATGGTACGAGACACAAAAGATTTATTCACATTTAAATGCTGTAGTGCTCTAACGATAGTCACTTGTGGTTTTCCAGTCAAATATAAAGAAATCACACTATCACGCTTGAATTCCATCGCGAATAACTTTTTTTTCTGGAAAATTCTCACAAAGATGCTTTTGTTCTCTTGTAAACAATATAATGAGCCATCACTGGAATAATTTGAACAGCTGTCGGACGAGTGGTTTAGAATTGACAGCAGTCTGAAGTTGGTTGCAGTTTTTTTCATCTCACCCTGTATATTGGAAAACACATTTTAGTCCTTTATTTGAAATAATGCCATAGTGTCCTGCAAGAATTTTACCTCTAGTTTTTTTTTTTTTTTACCGGGATATAATCCTTATATTTACCCTCTATATATAAAAGTCGGGGTCCATTTCACGCGTTATCTTGGATATAAGCATCAATGTAAGGGGCAGAAGTGAGATTTTCGTGCAATTGTGAGTTCGCCAGGATTAAAATTATTCTCGGTTTAGTGGACATTTTTGTATTTTTTACATAAAATTTATTTTATCCGCTGAATATGGTTGGTTTCTGATCAGTCTACAATTGCGTCCTGTAGAACAACTGCAAAATCAGGAAATTTTTCTGTTTTTAGTCCATTCCAATTCCTAAATATTATGCGATCATCAATTTTAACAATTTATGTTTTATAAATTAATATGTTTCTCTATTTCTTGTATTTTGTTAATCCAAGTTTCCAAAATATGTAAAGTTCTCTATATAACCAATAAACTATTTGTATGGTTACTTTCCAAAACAAAAAACAAAATGTTAAATTAAAAATCGTGATCTTTTCAAGAACTATGTACATCCACTAAATAACTTTCTTTCACCTCTTGTGTGTATCTTCTTAAAAATTCAACAACAAAAACACAAGAAATTTTATCATTGTCGAGTTTAGAAAAAAAGACTGAAATAATTATGGTACGTGTTATTCGTGTGGCACGTTCCAAATCATTTAAGTGTTGTAGCTGATGTCGTTAAGACAAACGGGGCGGACGAAACAGAGTAGAAGAATTCAACTAAAGAATAAGACAAAAACGAATGTAATAATTCAAAAGACATCGTCTCTCATCTGCTTGGCTTTTTTTGACTGCTGGCGTTGTAAAAGTTTAACTATCCATTCACCCACACGCCAACCAAACAACCCAACATTGATGCCGCCAGGTAAAGAGTTCATTTGCTGTAGTTACGGTTAGTTAATTTTACCAGAACATCCATTCAGCAACAACAACGAGTAGTATTTCCCTACCATTCAGCCATTCTTAACAACATCAACGTTTCTCGTTTTCTTTCCTTCCGCAGGGGTTCTTGACTCTGTGTCCGACGGAAATACACAGACAGTCGCATCTTACCATCGTCTAACGAGTGTTAAAGTGCGTCCCAGCTAATGAAATACCAAACATTTTATATGCGCGTATGTTTTAAAGAAGTGCGCCAGCGAAACGTCTGTTTGGTTTCTTATTCGAAGAAATTTGAATATTCAAATCTCCGGGGTTGAGGAAGACTTTCAATACAGTATGAAGAATGCAAAACCACCCCATTGGATATTTTAAAGAGGAATTAAAACGACAATGTACATTCTTACTTACGTACGTGATCTTGGGGTTGATCATCCCTTTGTGGAGTTAGTTTATCATCCAAAGAATATGTCATATGCCTTTTTTTGCATGCATAAAGTTGCACATAAAACTTGAACCACATCCTTATAAATGTTGTTTAGGTCGCATTTGTGTCTTAGGGTGGAAGGGTAGCAATTTGAAAAATTCATCCGACCTGATAGCCATTAACGATGAATCAAACAGCTATGCCCGAATATCTGTGCAGTGAGCTCCCGATATACAGATTCATACAAAGCAATTCCTCTTTGACAAAGGAGTTTCAGAGGACAGAGAATAAAACACGTTAAAAAGCGGAACGAATTTGGAAATTTAAAAAAAAAAATCCGTTAAAAATTCTGTTAAAATAAATTCCGAATATAGCCGTAATATTTCGGTCTATACGACGTGGACCTACATAGACTTTGTTTGTCATAAGCCATTACCATATTCAAATTCGAAACATTGAATAAACAGTGAATAATGTAGCTAAGATCATCAAAAACCGTATGTAAGTAGATACCGTTATATCGCAGTTATACGAAGAGCTGGACCTGCATATACAATTTTCTGTCACAGACTGTAGTTCCCATTACGAACTCTAAATACGTAATTTGAAACTACTCCGTTGAATAATGTCGCTAAAATCATCAAAATACCGAATATTTGGAGGTACCGTTATATGGGGGCTATATGAAGTCATAGACCTGCACAGACAATTTTCTGTCATAGGCTGTAGTATCCATTTCGAACTTCAAATACTAAATTTGAAACAATTCCGGTAAATAATGTCGCTAAAATTATCAAAATACCGAATATCGGGAGGTACCGTTATGTGGGGGCTATATGAAAACGTGGACCTACAAAGTCCATTTTCAATACTGCAGACACAATATACATCTGCGTAAAATTGTATCAATCTACTTCACTTCGTTCGGAAGCTAGAGTGATTTCCACAGACGGACAGACGGACATCGCTAAATCGACATAGAATTTTATGCTGATCAAGAAGACATATGTTTTGTATATTTCGAGGTGTTACAAACGGAATGACAAACTTAATATACCCTCCATATTTTGGTGAAGGGTACAAAATCATCCCGGCTCTTAGCAATTAGCAGCTACATCCGAATATCCACACAATGAGCTGCGGATATATAGATGCATACAAATCATTTCCCCTTTGATAAGAGAATTTCAGCGGACTCAGTGGTAAATTAGATAGGATAGGAGAATTCATGTATAGGAGTAATATTTTGGTCGAGGCGGTACACGAAACTAAGCTCAAGGAATATTGCAAACTTTAAGCTGTGATTCCTCTTTTTATACTAGAGCCTTATAGCTACAAAGGGTATTTATCATTTGATGCGAAATCAATTTCAGAGTGTTTGGAGTCAACCTATCGATTACCGATTTTGTCAAAATTTGTCACATTGCAATAGTTTAACAAAGCTTAGATCGAGTTCGATGATGTACACATATCCTGTTCCCTTCCTCCTGGTATCTCCCACACTAAAGTCAGTCCACTCATTTTGGCACCTCTTCCAAAAAAGGTCAAAATTTTGAATAACAATAAGTCTCATTATACGTTAAATCCGTGTTCGATTTACTTCAAACTCCGCACATCCAAACAAATCCGTCAACACTAAATCTGGTTTAAAGATGTTCTATGTTTTCAGTCATCAAAAATCACATACTTTGTACAAATTATAATGTTCGTATCAAACTTAGGTTAGATGGGAAAAAGGGGAATATCGGTTCAATCCTTCTGGTACCCCCAAAAAATAGTTATTGTTTTGAAAAATCAAATCAG